GAAAGAAAAACCTGTAAAGTGTTTAATAAATTAGCTCTCCTTACATAAATTAAATCTGTCAAAATTTTGTAAAATATTAATCAGAATAAATATTGACTCTTAAATGTGTGTTTGGTTTTTTGCTCAGTTCTCTTAAAGAAATTGATGAAACACGGGTAGTGGTACCTGTGATATGAAAAGATTATTCTATATGTTTATATCTGGGTCAACTAGGAATCAGGTGGCAAGACTAGAAATTGGCAAAAATAGAAGGTGGTGGTAGTATTCTTTAAAAAAAACCAAAAACCAGCAACCTCTAATTCTGTGCGTGTATGTTTGTGTTTGTAATGAATTTTTTTTAAATAAGAGAATATGTTTTTCTTTAAGAATTTTGTATTCCATGGAGTTACTTAGGATCCTCAAGGACTGTATGAATCTGTAAGATTTAAATGTAAGTATGTCTAAAGACTCTGTAGTAAAATAGTGGAAAAGGAAACCTACCAAGCATTGATCTCAGTTACTTGAGAAACCCTGCATGACTAAGAAAGCTTTATTTGGGACTTCAAAAAGCAAAAATTACAGAGGAACCCTTTCCTGTTGTTCACATGATTGTTTATGGTTTAATTGAGAACCCAGTGGTATTAAACAAATATTTTCAGATTGGACTAATTTTCATTTCATAATTATTTTACTGTATTGAAAGTAATGCCTCCAGAGCTGTGTAGAACTCAAGTAACAATATTTTGAACAAATATAAATAATGAAGGAAATTCTACTGTAAGCCCTCCCTTTTCATTCCAGTTAGGTACTTTTCTCCTCTTTGTCTTCTTGTCTGGATTCCCCAGTCCTTCCCAGATTGGTAGATTGTACCTATGATGTAGATTTCTGGTTCTAAGAGTTTACAGAGATAATTGGAAACAAGTGGTACATACCAGGACAAGAAATACTAGCTTCAGGTCAGAAAGTAAACCTTCAATTTCATAAAGTTCTTGGTATTAGAGTTTTCTATTAAATATCTTTATGTGACTATTAAAATAGAAAAATCTGTAATTCCAAGTGGAAACTTCAGAATGTCCCTTGATCTAGGTCAGCTAAGTCATAAACTCAAGGAAATCAAATGTGCCTCTTAGAAAACTCTTTTTGCCTTTGAATTGGAGTATGAATGTTTTGCTCAGATAAATTTTACCAGAATATCTCTGTCATCAGATATTTACTTGGATTGGAAAATACTTTTTAATAGACAGCAGTGTTTCTAGTACTAAGTAAGAAAGAGGGATTATTTCCATCCAAAGCATTAGAAAGCCTCATTGCTGCTGCTGCTGTTTCTTGGATCTGTAGGTTTACACTTGTCATCAAATTTGGAAATTTTTCAGTCATTGTTTCTTCAAATATTTTTCTTCCCCCCTTTCAGCAAACTCCAGTTATACGTATATTAGGCCACTTGAGATTGTCCTATAGCTCAGTGATAATTCATTTTTTAAAATTCTCTTTTTTCCCCCAGTGTTTATCTTAGATAGTTTTTAATGTCTTTAAGTTCACTTAAATTTTTTTCTGCACTGTCTAGGCTGTCTGTCATCAGTACTATTCAGTAATTTTTATCTGCCACATTATAGTTTTCACCTACAATGTTTTATTTGAACCATTTTTACATCTTCTGTATCGCTACTTAACTCTCTGAAAATAGAGAGTACAGTTATAATTGTTTTAATATTCTTACCTGTTAATTTTCATATGTATGTCAGGTCTGGGTTGGTTTTGATAGATTTTTATTCATCATTATGGACTGTATTTTCCTACTTCTTTGCATGCCTGGTAATTTTTGATTAGATGCCAGACACTATGAATTGAGTGCTGGGTATTTTGTTATTCTTATAAAAATTCCAGAGCTTTGTTCTGGGATGCAATTATTCGGAAACTTTGATCCTTTCAGGTTTTGCTGTTAAGCAAGATTTGTTAGGCAGGACCAGAGCAGTGTTCAGTTCAGGGTTAATTATTCCCCATTACTGAGGCAAGACCTCAGTAATGTACTGAGGTCTCCATCCAAAGCTCCAAGAGTCACACTTCTCAATCTCACTGGTGAGAATAGGCACTATCCCCAGCTCCATATGAGCACCAGACACCATTCTCTCTAAATCTTTCAGGTGTTTTTTTCCGTAATCTTGGATCTTGGGTAGTTACCCCGCATGCATGTGCAATCAGAACACAGCTGAAGACTTGCGGGGCGGGGGGGGGGGGGGGGGGGGGGGGGGGGGGGGGGGCGTGTTGGATGGCGCTCTACGAATTCCTGGGATTCTTCCTCTGTGCAGCTCTCTCCAGTCCCTCCAAAGCTAGCTGCTCTGGTTTCTCTGGACCCTCAGCTCTGTGTCCTCAACTTGGGGTGCCTTACAGCTCCCTCTGTATTCTCCCTCCTTAGACTATAGCCTGGAAACTCTGAAAATCCCAAGACTGACCTCATTTTCTCCATAACTTTCCTTTGTTGCCTATTGTCAGTCGTTCTCAAAACCATATTTTTTCATGTAATTAGTCTGTGTTTTTGATTGTTTCAAGTGAGAGGGTAAATCGGGTTCCTGTTATTTCAACTTGACTATAAGTGGAAGTCCGAGTTAATACAGTTTTTTAAAATTTTGTTTAATTTCTAATATGGAAAGTAATGATAGATGTAACTGTCATAAACAAAAGCTCTTCGGGGGTCCTCAGTAATTTGAAGAATGTAAAGAGTTCCTAAGATCAAAAAGTTTGAGAACCAGTGGCCCAGGCCATCATTTCCCAGTGCTCCTTGAGACGTTAGTGGTTCCATGGACAACTAATTCAGTGCAAGCCTTTCTTCAAGTTAAAACAGACTCCTCAACTACAAGATCTCAAGGCCTTCAATCTGCTAGCATGCAATGTGAATCTACAGGAACATAGATAGATGGCTGTAACGCTCCCTGAACTTAATTGATCATGAAGACTTTTTAGAACTAGAGTTGCCAGCAGTCCTCCCTAAATATACCAAACCACCACAAGGGGCTGAAAATATACCAAGTGGGTCATTTTTAAAACAAATGCAGCATGCAGCACTTTAATATCACATTTGGATTACTTTGGGGCTACTCTGTTGACTTACCTCCAAATGATGAAAGTGATTCCTCCGAGAACAGAGCCTGCCCAAAGCCAAATTCCCTTTTCCATTCTTAGAACCACTGGAAGCTAATTTTATAGTTTTGGAGTAGCTGTTTTGCCATGGCTCCCAATTTAAGAATAAATTTAATTCTGAAAGGGGGGTCTAAACTTTATCAGGCAGAAATTTCAAATTACCAGGTACCTGGCAACTTCATGTAGAGTATTTTCCTATCAGATATCTATTAGCATCTCCAGTACAATTTGGGAAACATAGTTGGATGGGAAATGTTGGCTCTGTGTGGGAACAGTTACAACATTCTGGTTATCTACAGCACCGAAAAATTTAGTGGTTAAAAAGGCATTTTTGTTCACAGATTTGCAATTTAGGACTCAACATAACTCACTTTGCTCCACTGGGTGTCAGCTGGGATGGTTCAAAAACTGGGAACTGGAATAGCCTGAAAGCTTACTCACTCACATGTCTGTTAGTTGATACTGGCTGATGGGGAAGATCTTAGCTGAGGTTTTGGCTCTAATACTTACATGTGGCCTCCCCATGTAGTCTGGGCTTCCTCAAAACATGGTGGCTGAGTTCCAAGAGTAAGCATCTCAAGAGAAAGAGGCAGGCAAGAGCTGTGTTGTCTTTTCTAACCTAGCCTGGTCCATTATACTCTGTTAGTTAAAAATGAGTCACTATGACCCTTATTCAGAGAAAGGGGAATTAGACTCCATCTTTTGTTGGAATGTCAAATAATTTGTGCATGTGTTTAAAACAACTACAGAAAAAAATCAGAAGTTACTCCGTAAATCTTCTTCAGTTCAGCCCAGTCCCTTTATTGTTAACTTCCCCAGCCTGCTTACCAAAAAGACCCTCCCCTCTCCCATGGTGAAACTTGCCTTATGGAACATGTGAAGTATTCAAGGCTAGATATAAATAACCATGAATTCTTTCACCTGGTACACCGTCAACTGACCTTTTCCTACCACGTTTCTGCTTTTTTTTTTTTTTTCTTTTGAGGTCATATAAGATTAAGATGTATTCACAGATTAGGCTGGTTCAACCTTACAAATACACATTACAGACTAATATCACACCCTGCCGCTGAAAAATAAAGGGTTGGATTGAGTCTGGTAATGAACTAAAAGTTTCTGGAGAAATAATGAAAATATACCTTATATAGTCTGATATTCCTTTTCTCCCTGAGCCAGCTGAATATGCCAGGACAATGCAGCATTTGCTAATTTTGCAGAATCGAGATTTGTGAGAAAAACACAAATCCTCAACTCAGTTTCTAGGATTAGTAATTCACTATCAGATGAGAGTGGGGAGTCTTTAAAAAGTCCCACCGAGCCTCAGATTCTATAGTTGTCTGTAGGTAGCTGTTTATAATGATCTTTAGATCGAGATAAATCAAAAGAATTTTTAAGTGTTTTGACAGTGTGCCTACCCTGGGTCAGCGTACCTTTCTGAGAAGCTTGTTAGGAAGGCTTCTGTGGCTCCACCCCTAGAGATTCTGCTTCTCTGGGGCCTAGGAATCTGCTTTGTAATACTCCCAGGTGACTCTAGTGCAGGTTGTCCAGGAGCCATGCTTTAGGAAACTGCTCCCAGCAAGAGAAGAGCAACCACTGAGCTAGAGTGGGGCAGGCAGGCAGGAGTTCTGCACTGCTGAATTAATTGCCAGCTTTGAAGAGCCGCAATGGCGGGGCCTGTTGCCTAGCAACCCTCACTCTGGAGGCACACTTGCCAGCTTAGAGAGAGCCATCTTTTCCAACAGCTGTAATGCAAACATTAACCTGGTGAGTCAACTGCTTAATGGGGTGGACTCTCTTTAACCAATAAAAATGAAGGTGGGGACCCAGATGATTTACCACTAACCAACATCACAGCACTCCCCCAAAAGGTTAATTGAAAGACACTGAACACTAAATTAAGCTGAAGTTTTATTTAAAACGTAAAAGAAATGGTTCTTGAAATGCTGATGAATAAAGCGAGCAGATATAGTGCTCTCTTCCTACTAGTCAGCTGGCCTAGCCAAGTACAGGGCAACATACAGTACTTAAGTACTGGTAGAATTTCACAGCAGTTTAGTGTTAGATTATCTGTGCCTAGATTATGTGGAGTTTCTCAGTGTGTGATCTGGGTTCTGGGTTTGCGCCTCTACTGAGCATGAACAAGGGCTCCTGCCCCTTGGCCATAGCCAAATCCCTTGGGCCCAAAGTTTTTCGCATAGCATCCTACAAAAGAAAAGGGAAGAGTTAGTGCAAGTCCATTAAGCTTTGCTAGCATTGCTTAAGACTGATGTATCAACAGACATCCGTAAATTGAAAAAGCTGTTGGCTATGCCAAGAAGAGTTCAACTTATTTAAGGTGTAAAGTGTGCCATGTAGTAACTACGTTAAAGCTGCAAAGGTGAGTCCGAGTCTTCTGGTTCCCTAGTGTTCAGCTTGTGGTCCCAGCTGAGTTACAAGTATGCAAATCGGGCCAGACAAGTTATATATTTGTCTGTGACCTTCATATATTCATATGCTTTGCTTAAAACATTAAGCTGAAAGAAGACTATTGTTTGTTTTTATTTGTAGGGGAGTTTTAAATGACTAGGAACTTAACTTACTGCATCATCAAAAATGTTCTGTGGTTTTTCTGTCATCTGTAAGCATCTCTAGATCTTTTATTTTCAGATACCCAGTGGCACTATCCCAGCTTTTCCCCATTTTCAGACTGCTTTTTGTCCTTTTTTTTTTTTTCCCCTGCTAGTGACATTTCCTTCACTAACAGCCAGTGTGAGATACCCATATGGACACCAACAACTGGAGTTAATTTTACCTTTACAATAGATTTCACCTTCTTTCTCAGTCAGAGTTGTTGACTCAAGACTCTTCCCACACTTGGCACATCGGAAGCAGTTTTTGTGCCAGGGCTGGAAGAGAGGAATGAGTAAGTTTAGATGCTGTGGCACAGTGGCTCAGGAAGATTAACCCAAAACAGGGTCCTGACTACTGTGGGTCAGCCCCAACCAGAAGGCTGAAACTGGACCCTCTACATTCTTGGTTGCCTGCAAAAGGGCTGAGTTCAGACTTCATCCACAGAAGACACGGACCGGACCGGGAGCTGTGCCACGGAAGGGCCGTTTCCCTAAGAGCTGTCTGAAACCTCGCCGCAAGCCCTGTGTGCTCCTTTGAAGACCGCCTCCTTTATGGTTGAGAACACTGCAGCTCAAAGAGGTGAAGTGGTTAAGCAACTTCTTCAAACCAAATTAGCATCAGGTGCCCTAAGTCACTGCTTTTTTGGGGTTTTTTTCCCTTTCACTACACTGAAGAACCTGCAGAGTCCAGGTTTGTTAAGTCTGCCCTTGTCAGTTAACACCTTCAGGAGCGCCCCCTATGAAAACAAGGTTCTTTTAAACACAGATGTGATTTGTCAAATAACGGCATCACTTCAAAAAATTAATGATTCAGATGGAAATTCAATTAAGAAAAAGTTTAATTCAAGCATTTATTTATAAGGCAGAGCACCTGAGTGGGCTGCAGAGGGGCCTGTGGGAGAAAGGTAGTGGAGAGTAGTCATCCGCTGCTATTAGCTCAAGACGGCACTTTACCTTTCCAGCTCCAATGATCTTCTCGGCAGCGTACACGGAATCCCCACATCTGGAACACTTCTCAGCACCACCATATTTCTGAGCAAATTTAGAAGTGTTTGGATTTGTCGTAGGCCTGTGAGGTTGAACACTTGTGGAAAGGGGAGAAAAGGAATTAGGCAAGATTTTCCAAAGGGCCCTTATAAGCCTTACAAGGCAGACACAATGGCACTCTGGGACTTAATTGCTATACTGTCCCTTGGCTGGAGACCTCCACAGGCCAGTACAGGGGAAAGAAGGAGGAAGAAATAAATCTCAGGGGCTGGCCAGTTATTATTTTAACCTATTTATGGGCTCATTATTGTTACAAAAAGACAGACAAGGCTCCAAACTTAAATGTCTGTCCCTCTGAATCTAAACTCATCAGAATTCATTGAATCCCCAGTGCTAACCTCTCCACTAAACAATTATGCTGTGTTTTATGAAAACCTACCATAGCACATATTTTCACCCCACATTCATATCATTATTATTCATATTACCACTGGAATCACAGCTAGCTTTTTACTTCACAGAAGATAGAAAAAATCAGTAGTAACTTAAGCAGTTAAGTTCTGCACATAGGTCAGCTGACTTAGGCAGTAACTAGGAAAATTAAGTATGTTTTACAGATTACTTAATTCCCCAATATATTAGGGGAAAGTATGAATAAATTACATTTTTCATGGGAAAATATTTTAGAAAGTTTGCCTATTACTCTGTGATCTGTTTATCTTTACTTTTTCTCTGTATAATGTACTGTTTTTGTCAGTATTTACAGGCCACTAGGTAAACCTTGTTTTCCTCTCACTTTCTGTAATTTTTTTCCATTCAGTATGTAGATGTACCTACCATGCAGAACACCATTCTGGGCTCTGAAAAGATTTAAAGGCTTTCCTAAAACCTTACAAGTAGGTTGAGCAGATAAGATGTGACAACAAGAGTTAGCACTCTGCAAAGGGTAGCTAAGTGTCGATTTTTCCTACTAGGAAAACAGTTTTATCCTAGTTATATTTTATTAAATAGGTTACATACATATTTAAAATAAAGTGTTAATTTAGGAATACTGCCTTTTCATAAAACAGTTTATTCAAAGTTTACATGTATCTTTAATATCTTCATCTCCACTATATCCATTTCTTAGTCATTTAATGGTTTTCTGCACTTCTACCTAAGTTGTTTAATATACAGCATTTCTTGAATCATGTTTGATGTGTCCACTGGAAATTTTATTCTAAGCAACAAATACCAATTCCCAGTACTAATTCACAGGACCGAATTTTCCATTGTCCCTAATATGGGCATATTTTTTTAAAAATCTCCACAACCCACTGTATATATAGTCAGCCCTGTTTATCCACAAGTTGTGCATCCACAGATCCACCCGACCTCGGATCAAAAATATTCGAGAAAAAAATTCTGGAAAGTTCCAAAGAGCAAAACCTGCATTTGCCACACGCCAGCAACTATTTACATAGCACTTGCATGCTCAGATTTTATATCCGTGGGGTGTCCTGGAACCAATCCCCCATGGATACCAAGGGACACCTGTACTTACTTTTAAGAGTGATCTTTAAAAGCTATTCACAATGATATCCAACACTTGCAGTTAGGAGTTTTCCAAGAAAAATTTCCAAATCTGCCAATCATATTAAGAAGAACTTTATATGGATTATCTCCCACCTCCCTTCCAGCAACCTCAGAAGCCATGGTTAATTGCTACCTCATATGACAGATGAGGAAATAGGGGCTTACATTTAAATAACTTGCTGAAGGGCTAAAGAATTAGTAAATTGGTGAGCCTGAACTAAAAAATGCAGGTCTGCCTCAATGAAGATGTTTCTGCCCACTCAGTGGTGCCTCTTCAAGAGATCCCCCCCGAAGCTGTTTGGTCCCCGTAACTTTCACAATGACCATGTGCCATAAGGGCAGTCCAGACTGCAGGTACTCCCAGAGTAGTCATTAAGAGGGGCTTCTGGAAAAGGAAATCCCTACACCTGGTCCTGCAGGATGAGTAACATGTGGCCAGGCTAAGAAGGGGAAGAGGCAAGGACACAGATCAACACAGGCCAGCATAGAAGGTTGGCTAATTATTGGAGAATATGGAGAAGCAGGAGTAGATAAAGAGGAGGGGCCATTGGTCTTTGTGACTTTAACCCATGGCCACAATTGCTGACTTACTTTTGGGGTCATGGATGAGTTTTGTTTGGGGGGAATGTGTACAGGTTTATGTGTTTGAAATAAAATCTTGGGAAACAAGAATAGATCTTAACAAGTTGGAAAGGAAGAGCAGAACAAGAACAATGAACTTTAACAAAGTCAGAGGTAAGCTGGGGTCCTGCAAGTGATGGCATGCAGCAATGAATGCGTCAGCCCTCATACAACCGATGCCCAGCAAGGCACCACAGCTCAGAAAGTGAGTGTGGAAGAAACAAGAGAACAGAGAGGTGGGCCTCGATGCAGGACAGCGCACAAGTATGCGGGCCAAAAGGACAAAAGTTCAAATCCTGGCTCTGCCACTTCCCTGTGTGAGCTGAGCCTTAGTGTCCTATCTATAAGGTAGGGACAAAGTAACTCAACTCAGAGTCACTGTGAGGATTATATAGAATGAACATTAAATGTTCAGCAGACGTTATTTCAGGCATACCATAATGCACTGTGCTTAAGATCATAAGCTTTGGAGTTACACTGGGTTAAGTTCCAGGCTCTACAATTAACTAGCAGTGTGACTTTAGGCAAATCACTTAATTCTCACTGTCTCACTTTGTTCTTGATTAAGATAGGAAACCCTACCTTATAGGGTTGTGAGGATTACATGAGTTACCATATATTATTGCACGGTGTCCAGTCTACAATAAGGGCACAATTAATGGCCTTGTCCAAGGAAAGGCCATCTTATTGGAGTATTACACAATTTTGGCCTCTTCAGTATAAAATGGATGTGGAAAATGTGAAGTTCAAATGAGGGAATTAGTCAAGAACAGGAATTAAATTCCACATGAAGAAATTATGTCTCAACATGAATTACTAAGTGAAGCTTGGCAGATTTAGCACTTTACTTTGGTACCGAAACCTTTAAAATTTAGTAACACTAACCTCATTGAATCAAATACAGGAAATAATTTCTCCTAACCTCATAGAATCAAATACAGGAAATAATTTCTATTTTTAAGTAAGAATTGTAAGCTAGAGAAAAGTAATTTCTTGGTGAGGAAACATTCTTACATGGAAGAGCTGACTGAGGAATTTTCATTGACTGCTTAATTGCACATGAGAAATGCATCTCATGATTCCGATACTACATTTCTCCATCATTTGATTTCATGATGTCTGGTCTTTGAAGTGCTGTGAAACGGAAGTAAGTTTAAACCACTTGCTTTTGACAACATCACAACTCCTTGATACACCTCATAATGCCAAAAATCGGGACTGAAAATCACTGGGATAATCAATAAGAACTTTGCCAGGTCCCAAACTGTCCATTATTTCAAGCTTAAAGAAGGGTCATTAGTTTATACTAGAAAATCTGAGTCATTGTCTTTGATTCTTTCAAGCTAAAAACCTGGAAACTCCCAGATTCCCGTTCACCAAGCAACATGAATTGCCACCATGCCTTCCTGAAGGTCACGTGGCCTTGACTCACCTCTCAGGCTTGATGCCCAGCCTCTCGCCCCGGTCCATGTTGAGTGTGCCCGCGCCCTGGCCGTACCCGTAGCCTTTCGGCCCGTACTTCTTTCCATAGCAGGATTTGCAGTAGATCTCGTCATCGTGAATTGCCACTGTTGTACTATCTAAATTTTTCCTGCAAACCACTGAGGGGGAAAAAGTTAGACTTTAAAAATATGCCAAAGATTGCCTTTTTCCTTAGAACAATGGTGGGGCTGACACAGGGCCTAGAAAAGGTAAAGGCACAGGCTCTCTCACATTCCTAGTTTATTCTCTGGTTCCCAAAAGCCACTGGAGAGCACCTGGACGGCTCGCTACCTGTGAGGACAATTTGCGTTCCTCCATGGATACGATGGTCATTTCAGAAATACATTATAATTTTAACATCCTGAAGCCTCAAACTTTTTAGTAGGATCTGCCCCCCAGACAAGAGGGAGAGAAGTTTCCAAGATGTCTATAATTACACAAACAAAAGGAACAAAACTAGCACTTTGCGCCCAAGACCCTTGCTCCCAACCTTCAACGCTCAATCTTTTTCATCCCCTTCATCCAAGTATTAAAGAACACAAGGGTAGGAGCGCCTTGGGCAAGCTGCCTCTGCAGCCCCTCCTCCCCCAAAAGCACCCCCAGGGATAAAAACGGTTTTAAATCCAGAATTCTAGTCTTCATCACTAGTCCAGAAGGGAAAAAGCAGTCTTCTTTCATCTCGCCACCGGCTTCTCCAGCAGTGATAAGTATGTCTGAAAATCGTCAAGTGGTTTAAAGTCTGCATTTGTTTTCCCTTCAGTCCCAAAGGAGAGCACATTCTTTCTTGATGGATTTCTTACCACATTTCCACGTATCCCACTTCATAAAACTGCCAAATGTCATCATGTTTTATCCAGACATTATTTCACTTTTTAAGACTTCAATTAAGCTTGAGAAAAAAAAGACTTGTGAGAGAGCTCGCTGGACGCACAATCGGGCAGCAGGAAACCCAAGATTAGTGCAGTAGAAAAGGGGATTCCCCCCGCCCCTTATTTAAAAGAGAGGGAGAAACAAAAAGAGGAAGAACAGAAAGAAGGGCAGGGAAAGGCGACTAGCTGGCTGCTTCAGAGTAGAGTTAAATGACGAAGTTTCTATTATCTTAGACTGAAGTCTTCTCTGGTAGAACAGAAATGACATCATCTACTTTGAACCTTGCTGTTGAGGTTCAAGTACTGAAATATATCTGCTTAAAGTTAACCTAAAATCGTACACTGCTGAAGAACAAACACCCTTAACAGACAGATTAAATAGAAAAACTTGTTTTAAACACATATTTATTAACCGGAGCAAGTTTAAATGTATGAGATTTTGACTACAGAACCACCCCTTTCCCCCTAGGCCTCGTCCGTATTCTCTGCAGTAAAATTCTCCTAAGGTCTGCAAACTACTCTGAATTATTTCCTTAAAAGGCTTTAGTCAGCAGAGGCACGTATTAGGAAGGAGTAATAAAGATGACCAGTAAAGACCTTGACATTTAATAAACACTGACTTGATTACGGTGTAGACATCCTGGTTTAACCTAGAGGAAACTAAGAACAATTTCTCAAGTATTTACATTTCCTCTTCGTTCACATACTCTCTTGGTTACAAAGCTGCTGAAAAATATGGATTCCTTTAAAAAAAATTAACTTCTAAGAGAAGAAATGGTTAAACCAAATCTGAGAAATGCTAGCTATTATGGAGGCGTACATAGCAAACATTCATATGTTGTATTTGTATTCTTCGTAACTGCAACTCTCTGTTGTCTGTTTCTGGTCGTCTGCAAAGCAGTTGCTGTATAAAAAGGTCCAGACACCTTAAATGCTGGTGCCTAGAAGGAGAAGGACAACTAAAATTTGTGAGGGAAACTCTTTCTGCAGATTATTCCTTAGTGTAACCAGACTTCTTTTTAACACAGGCAGTTTCTAACAGTAATTTTCACTGCACAGTACTCTAGATATAGCGGAGAGCTGCACAGACGGGTGGGTTCCTCACGTAACAAATCCTGCGTTCAAGAAAATTTTGTCATTTGAATCAGAAGCTGATTAACGTTGAGCTTCCTGAAGCGGCTACTCTCCTGTTTAAAGACTGAAGACTTGGTTGTCCTAAGAAGGAATCTGCCGGGGAGAGGGGGCTTCTCTCCTGTTCCCTTTCTCTCATTATCAGCTACTGACCATCATTGGAGCAGACGCCCACGTGCTGGTTCGTGGTCTGCCTCCCGTCTGTACCAGCCACTCCGGTAATTCTCTCTCTATAAACAACAGTAATTCCCCACCTGCTTCTGTGGGATTTTCATATCCTACGTTCCTTGCCCTCAAATTTAGGACATCAATAACAAGAAATAACTCTGAATATTCACTACTACTAGAGAAGACAGAATTTGAACTTCTAGACATGTGAATTTCACCTAACAGTGTGGCGAGAAACCAGCCAGTTAGGTTTCAAAGAGAAGGAGTGCCGCCAGAATGAGAAAGCTGGGGCGGATGGGGAGTGAGCCGTTCGTTCAGGAATCGGAGCCAAGCCCCTGGGATGTGCCAGGAACTGTGCTGGGTGCCAGACTATAAACAACCCCGAGGTCTCAGTGAAGCGGGGGAGACAGACGTGACAACAGATAAAGTACAGGGGGTGCCAAGTGGAGGCGAAGCGCTACGGGGACCCAGAGGCCAAGGGTCTGGGTCGCCCCTGCTGTCCTTGCTGTGAGGCTGAGCGCTTGCACTATCCATGGGGACAGACAGGCAGAAACCACGGGGCTGCTAAAATCATCCTTGTTAACAAAACCACAGTTTCTTCCTGAAATCGGTGAACTGAAGCTTCTGACACACGAGTTGTGTCCGCGCGAGCACGGGGGGAGACTCACTGCACAGGAAGCAGCAGCGGTGGAAGCTCCGGCCATCGCACTGCACCTCCTCTGCGTGGTACACAGTCCTCCCACAGGCCCCGCACTTGTTGCCACCTCCCCAGACGGGCATCCTGCAGGAAGACAGAATCGTTAGGACGGGCCCCTACTGTACGAGACGTCTCACACGCCCCCTGGAGGGCTTTTTACACCAGGGGACAGCAGACAGCGTTGGTTTCTTCATAACCTGCCCTGACCACATCTGTAAAAGACCTGCGTTCCTCCAAAGTAACCTCATCTCACCTCCCAAATCACAGCCCTCACTAGGAAACGGGCTTGTCGTGCACAGGTTTTTTTCTCCTACAGGACAAAGGACCTGCATTTAGTACCACAGTGCAGGTCGCCAGGCACAAAACAGACTGCCGCCAGCACCCCCGGGAGCTGAGAAAGCAGTGTAGGGAGTGGAAAGGCCAACACTGCCCACGCCCGCCCTCCAGTCGAAATGAACTGGTTTAAGGCCCAGCTGAAGAACTTACACTTGGGTGGAGGTTTTTACATGTTTCATTCATTGTAACATCACCAAATTCTTAACCATAGAACATACACAAGCTATGACACACTTCTAGGGAGAAGGGAAGTACTGGACGGCCCAGCAAGATTAAGCTGTATATTTTCTGCTCAAGTTATGAGAGATGATAGCATAAACACTTGTTTCTCTGACTAGCACAACTGCATGGCTGGAGCCTGGGAGTAACCACAACGAACACCCATCCAGATGGCTATCATTTAAGTTTCTGTGCTTCACTAATCCCAGTGTCCTGAAGTCCAGCCGACAGTTGGCTTTCCCTCTCTGGTGGGCCTGTCCGTCCACACAGAATAGGCTACCAAGTTGCCTTCCTGGCAAAATGAATTGTTTGTTGACTGTGTCCAAATAACCTCTGAGCAATGTGGCCTGGGGATAGAACTGGAAGTTTAAATCCTTGGCTATCTTGCTGTGATGTAGGGCAACGTGTTCTAATCTCCTTCGCAATGAACTGGTATACCTGGACCCAGTTTACAGCGCCTAGTTCTGAATGGCCAGTGTGCTCAAGTGCCTTTGCCAGTACAGAAAGTTGTCCTGCAGAGACAGCGTGTTATGTCAGACCTGCCCTGAGTGGTATCTAAAAACACAGTAGAAGAATTCCTTTCATCCCCACCATCATTTCCAGACTTCCCTTTGCTGAGTGCCATTTGCAGCCCTTGTCTGTTGCGTCTTCTTGGATGAGCTGCTGCCTCTCTAGTAAACAGCTAGCTAAGAAGGCTGAGATGTCCTTACTAACTCAAGTCTGGCTAGAAAAAAAAAAAAGGGACAAGGACAGCTGCTAAGCAAAAGGCTGAAGAATCTTCAGTCCTTAAGATAAAAAGGAGGGTGGAGAAAATTCCTATCCCACTTGCCCATCCTACACCGTTTCGACAATCCAGAACACAATGACTCCCTGAACACTGAGATGAGGCCTTTACACAAGAAAGATTTACAGAATTAACCACTGTGTTGGGCACCCTTCGGGGGCACAGCCTTCTCTGGCCCCTCTTCTGGTAATACTTCCCCCAGATTTTCTCGAGGGCAGCCACCATCTCTTTCTTGGCACACGTGGTTTAGAGAAGTACTTATTAAAATGTGGTCTCCTGGTGACAGTCCACTGAGCTGGCTACCAATTCAAGACAACATTCAGATAAGCGTTTAGAAAGTTTTCTACAATTTTATGCCACAACAATCAAGAGCATGATCAGTGGGCTCATCCTGTTGGACAGAGGACAGTCAGATAATCAGTGTGTATTTGGAAATTAAAATAAAAAGAATGGTCCTTTACCACAGATAGTTGGAGAAGCACTAGTTTAGAGGGTGTGACTCTACCCTCAATTCCAGGGCTGGACATGCGATGCATCACTGCAGTCAGATGAGTGCATTCCCCCTCCTGCCATGGCGACTGGTTTAGGAATGGGCACAGGACCCCAAGCCAGTTCAATGGAAGTTAAACCCGGCCTTGGGTTTAGAACTGTGCCAGTGCAGGAGTGGAGTTGTTAGCAGCTGTCTGGAAGAAAAGAACCTAAGAAGGAAGCCAGCACAAAGCAAAACAGAGACTAGTTTAGATAGTCTTTAGCCGTGCCTTGTTGTATCCTGTGCTCTTCAATTATATGAGCCAATAAATTCCCCTTTTTAAGCCTTGGGAGATAGAGCCCCTGGTCCTAGAAACAAACAGGAACGACACACAAAAAGACCTGACTGATACGACTAGTTATCCCTACGTTGTTGGCCTCAACTGGCAAAAAGCCTGTTTCCCTTGTTCAGACAGGAACAGAGTCATTTCTAGGGTCCACAAATGTTACCAGGCTCCTGTGAAGGCATCCATATAGGATCGATATCCAGCAACAATGGAATATACTTGCAAGCTTTTCTTTGGTAGTTGCATAAATCTCTTATTCCTGTCCCTGGAGACTGGTGCTCCATTGTTTAAATCCACAGTGAAACTTGAGCCCGGCTATAGAACCTGACACAAAACTTGGTTTCAGCGCCTGCACTGGCTTGAGTTTGGAGGGCAGTTAATGATATTGACTTTGCCCCATGGCTCCAAAGCTACCCGTGTTCTGGAATGCTCACAGATACAACAGACATCTGCTGGAAGTATCCCATGATTTCTGAGGAAACCAAACACCAAACCCAGACTTGCAGGTAATGACATCACAGTGACTTAAAATCAGATCCCAACCATCAACAGCCCAGCTGGCTTTTAAGATACTTTTATCATCAAGGCATTTCTCATCATGTTAGAAAGGGTCATCGTACCACCAGCCCGTATCATAATTACTTTGGAGCAATCACCAATAAGGAGCCAGACTTTCTATCAAGACAAACACTACCCTCGGTTGTCTCTAAATAACATTTAAAAATACATAAAAACTAACTCGTCACTCTGTGCTACTCTCTCTATGATAGAGCAACTTGGACTTTTAAAAAAGGAAGAATATCTTCCCTTTCCTTGTGTAATTCAGGGTTGAATTCACCCCTTGTAAAGTCAAGTCTGATTCTTACTGTACTTGCCACGCCAGCCAAATGTGAATAGGTCATCTTTTCGGGAGACACCTATCCAATATCTTTTCAGGTTACCATTTTAAGAGCTTCCTTCCTTTGTGGGTGGGGACCACAGCTCTATCTTCTCCCACACCATCAACCAGAGTGCTTGGCATATGTCAAAATATTTCATTTCTATTGTTTTAAGGAATCCTTCCTTTTTCAACTTGTCTTTACTCTTCCCAATTTGATCTTATGCTTATAAAGACAAAGGTAGCCCTGCCCTACTTCTCTGTCACATTCTTGGATTCTCAGTAAAATTTCCAAGTCATCACCTTTTTAAAAGTTCCACTCAGTTTAAAGGCTTTCCTAAGGATTTCTGAATAACCCTCTCTGTGGGCCAGGCTAATGGTGTAATAGAGTATCCTCAGAAAGCTTCAGATGGATTTACGTTTTATTTTTTAAGCAGGATAGTGGCTAGTTGGGTGTTCCTTATGTTATTCTCTATCTTGTATGTCTGAAATATTTCATAATGGAAGGAAAGGAGGGAAGGAAGGAAGGAAAGGAGAGATGGAGGAAGACACTGATTTAGACAGACCTGGGTTAACTTCACTATTATAATGGTTGTGCAATGTTGGGCTTAATTTTCTTATCTGCAAAAAAGGGGGGAAAGGTAGCTCTCCCTACCTCACAGAGATATTGTAAAGATAAGACACAGTAAATAAATGCCTTGGCAGACATCCAGTAACTGGTGGCTTGAGGATGGGAGGGGCATCTCATGCGGTCCATCCTGCCATCAGTACTCCTATAGGAAACCCACTGACTAGCATCTATAGAACACAGCTCAGAGCAACAAACAGTAAAGGAAAAAGTTATCTGATTAGTCACTCATAAACCTTTCTCTGGAACATTACAATGCACTGCAAGTATAACAACAGTTGCACTTGCAGGGACTAAGAAATGAAGTTCAAATTTACAGTTTTAGGGTGAACCCCTATGCGTGTCTGCTGAATTTGGCAGAGGGAAATGGCACCATCTTCCATTTCTGTCACTCCTAGCATTGCTATGCATATATTAAAAAAAAAAACATACACACAAAAACCCAAAGCTTCATTTTTCCTACAAGCCCTTGGCTGCACTACTCCACAACAGCTGACATTAATCACAGCAAACTGGATTTGCACTGAGCAATCTGGGCTGCATGCCTTTCCCCGATCCTATGCATTAATTTACAAAATGGTTAAGAGGAGAAATAAAACCCCACGTTACATACACCTCGCAAAAGAGGCCAAACATGGACCAATTCAGTTTTTTTGTCTTGTTCTTTCGTTCTCATTGCCTGAAAGAGCTCCAGCACTAGGATTTATCCACTGTGTTGGATTAAAAAGCTTGGTTTACATCCAAACACCTATGTGCAGTTTCTCTTTGCTGCTTCTCCCCAGTCTAAGACACCACCCAGCATCAGTAAGACTTAGCCCAAGAAGAAAATTACTATAGTCTAAATCTGAGTCACCTTGCGGTAAAGTTAGCTCATACTCTAGATAACCAATGACCACAGGGACCATTCTCCCCACCTGTGCTGCGCTGACTGCCTTATTTTAGAATCTGAATGACTCAAACCCATGAATTTTGAGCCTATGTGCCGCCGCTTGTTATTTAAATTAACTGGTCTGATGCCGAGTGAATCCGTCTATAAACCCAGATTCTAAATGCTTCCAGAAGATTTGACATCTTATGACTACATGCAGGGCTTTGTTATTATACAGAATCTTTGTTATTATGCTATAACTTCCCAAAAGGAGAATCTACTATAAACCAGTTTCATCTTGAGCCACATCCAGAGGGGGTCACTTGTTAAAGAAGATGTAACTGTCCCCAATTACAATGATGTTTAAAGAGGCCAGAGTCTGAGAGCTGTAATTAATTGGAAATTAAGCTGCACTCAATGCCCATTCTAGAAAGGTTTTCTTCTGCAACCCAAACTACCTGCTTAGTCTACTTCCCTTATCTGAGTGAATACCACTGAGCCAAGGATAGGACTCTCTGCGTCTTAGTGATGGGCTCCAAGTTCCATTTGGCTTCTTCTACCAAAGGTAAATCCTCAAGCTGGTCTTCAAGAGAGTTCGGCCTCAGGATGAACTAAGAAGATGGATTTTGGAGTCCACACAGTCTCATTTCCCTCATATGCAAAATAAGGGTAGCAGAACCTTTCTTTCAGAGTTGTTAAGAAAATGAGATGAGAAAATGCTTACAGTTGGCATTCAATTATTGGCCGCCTGTATCATCAGTATTTAGCAATGTTCAGTCTTTGTTATCAATACTTATCTTCTCCTACCCACCTCAGTCCATCCATTCCTTCATTATGTCCCTAATCCCTCTACATCAGGAAAACTGACTTACCTCCCTCCCTCCCACCCTCATCCAGCTAACTCCCGACTTCATTTCTGAACCTCAAGTAATTCTTCCAGGGTAGGGGCAGCTAATAAACACTGTAATGCTGTACTGTTTATGAAGCTCTCCTATAAATCTATTAATTCAACATCTTATAAGCCATATCCTGGGTTGGGAGCTGAGGATAAAAGGGTAAAGGAAGGGTGCCTGTTTCTCAGGGAGTTCTACTTTGGTGGTAGAAGTATGTAAACAAATAACAGCAAAGTAACCCAAATCACAGAAGCGTGTAGAAGGGGCTTTGGGAAGTCTGTATGGTCTATTGATGGAGGGATGCCAAAACAGTTTCATCTTATTGATTGATTGATAGTGGGTTCCTGGAACTATGTTGGAAAAGATTCTGGAGACCAGTCAAGGTTCCACATTAAAGATCATTGGGGTTAATAATGTCTGCCATAGAAACTGCAGTGCACGCGCCACCTCTAAGACATTCCAGGGATAAGAGAAAGAGTGTGGAACTCAGAATGAGACAGATGTAAGCTTGCAAGTCAGTTACCAGCTCTGTGATCTTGGCCAAGTTCCTTAACATCTGAGCCTCCACGTCTTCAGCTATAACTTGGAAATGGATGAGCGCTCTGCCGTAGGATGGTTGGTTAACGAGATAACATTCGTAAAGTACCTGGCAGAAGCCTGTGCTCCACAAATATTGGTTTCCTTTTCCTTCAGGAGCGCTAGCGGGCCGGATTATGGTTACCAAACGTTCAGCGGTTAAGGGACTTGCTCAGGTCACTGACCTCCAAAGATGCAGATCTAGGCTCAACCACTCATGTCTGACTCCAGAACCACAAGCTGTCCCCCAAACTCCCATATCTAATTGAAGGGTCGAGAACATTCAAACCACCTGAGCGTGATCAATCCTTGAGCTATCAACTTACACGCAGGAACACCTTCCTCTCTGGCCAGTCTTCATCCACCCACCTAGCAGTTAGCAAGTGTCCTCTATGTGCTAATCGCATACCCAAACTGCTACTTTCAACCAAAAAGTACTCTCTACCAGTCCTCTCTGCCAACCGAAGTCCATCCTCCTACTGAGGGAAGCCTCCCTTCTATCTAATAAGCTGTCCTTTGTGTACCTCACCCTCACCATTCATTAGTAATTCTGTATCCTGTTGCCACTCATGTCTTCAACTCGGAGGACACCTTGACCCAGATTTGGAGGCTGTCAAATCACACATTAGAACACAACTGCGCTCTCAGCTCGGGCACTCTGACCTCCACCTGCCAGCCTCAGATAGCCACAATCTGTGCAAACTAGGAGCTATTCAATTATTCAAACAATTTAATGTTTGTGTGATTTTTACATGGAGTCAGACTGAGACTTATATGCCAAGACTACTGTTTATTTGCCAAAAGATCTTAGGCTGGTTATCTGATCTGTTCGTTTTCTCATTTTAAAAACGGAGATACTGCTTATTTATATCATAAGGCAGTTTTGAGATTGAACAATACATGTAAAGCACTTCGAATCATGCCTGCCACATGATAAATAACAGTAATTAGAAATACTTACGTAAAGCTTACTATACCTATGTTAAGTAGTCTACTTATATGAACTTAATCCTCATAACAGCTGAGGTAGGCATTATCATTATCCTCACTGCATGGGTGGGAAAGCTGAGGTATAGATTATTAAGTGGCTCATAACTGTAAAACCAAAACACAATTACCAATTCAACTTAAAAATACCAGAGAAATTCAAATAGACTATACTGAGTTTATTTGACTGATGTTTCACTAAAACTAAAACACTGCTAGCAACACAAATATAGTAGTGACTGATGTGGCTCTAGCACAAGTTCTTTTAAATTGGGTATTTTCTGTCCTGCTGTGGGAGGTATGCAGATTTGATTCTGTCTTCGCTTTCCTCTTCTGGAGGAGAAGCCACCACGAAACCTAACTGGGAAGTCATATGGCCCTAATGTACTAAATGGTATGTGTCCTCTTATTAGTCAAGGACAATTAGTAGTACTGTTGGTACAAACAAAAAAGCAAGGAACCTGATATCCTTTGCAAATGACTCACAATATACTTTTGCTTCTTCCTCTAAGACTTACACTGAAATGTACAATTTTTATAATCAGAATTTGTGCCTGGCTCCTCCACAATCCAGTTTGAGAAAACTCCCGTAAGTCAGTCAGGGTTCTTAACCTGGGGTCCACAGATTCCTTGAAATTCTGGGGATCGCTGAACTTGGTACCATGTACTTTATTTTATGCACCTAAAAACAGTTTGAGAAGGGGTCCAGAGGCTTCACCAGACTGCCAAAAAGTTCCATGACACAAAAAAGTTAGGTATTACCATCCTAGGTAATCAAGACCCCAAGTGTAGGGAACCCCACCCAATAGAACTCAAGGGATGCCATGCAAATACCAGCCCAGGAAATGATACAGTTGAGGAAACCTGTGAATATCTGCAAAGGGAAGAAAGCTGGCCTCCAGGCAAGGCCTAGGCAATACTGTTCAGAGTCAGCAATCTTCTGGAAGAGGCTTTCACTGATAGCCGTTTCCCCCTATATTCAACAAAGTGCAGAACAGAGTCTAATTACAAGGAACCTCTCCCAAACTGGGCTGGGTTTTATACAAGGAACAGCATGCCTTCCGAGAACCCCTGCAAGGTATGTGCTATTACACCCATTTTACAAGATGAAGTAACTGAGACCAGAGAGTAAAATAACTTGCCTAAGGTCATCAAACCAGTGGCTGCTGAAGCTGGGATGTGAATTTGGGCCCAACTGGTCAGTCCTGTCCTTCTCACCATGCTATGCCTCCTCTCCCACTGTGGGCTTGCTCTCCCCTGCTCATCTGATTTACCTGATTTTTGACAGAGAAGAAAAATTAGAGGCCCAGATGTCCACATTTAGTGGCGGTGTCAAGGCTGGACCCAGGCTTCTAAAGCTCATTTATTACTGCCCCCTCTAATCTATGCCAACATTCTTGCTATTTTAGTATAAAATACAGTTTCCTCAAAATCCAAGTGAGTTGGCAATTTCATCAGGACAGACCTCCAGTGAGTACTGCTTTCAGCCCAGTATTTGGCATATACCAGTATCAATCAATATTCGTGAATACATTTGGAGGAATCCATTTAAAAAACTCACAATAGAAACTGTAGATCAAATCTGCTAATATTTCTATTGCTTGAGTCCAATTAAATCTTTCTTCTCTACAATTGCAATCTTACTCATTCCTTCATTCATTCATTCAATTAACCAGCATTGGCTCTGGTCCAACGGTGTGTTTAAGACACCCAAGCCAAGCACTGTGAATTTCAAAGACTCATGGGATACAGACCCCCGTGTCTACCTAACTTCACTCTGAAAGAGCAAAGGAAACGAATCCAGGGTAAAAAGAACCTTGAGAAATATTGGTAAAGTATAAGTGGCAGTCAACTTCAGAGGGCAATGACCAAGGAGACTGTGGAGGGAGACCACAAAAGACTTAATAAAATTTGTTCTCGTTTGGTATGCAGTTTTTAACGTATGTGCAACTCACCCTTTAGGAATCCATTGCCCATCTTTCCTGAAAATTTGAGTCAAATTATAGCCAACTCTGTGGCTGTCCTATTTGAATTCTTGGCATTTTTTATAAGCAGAGTTTTAAAACAGGTTAACTAGAAAAGTTAAGAACTAAAGAGACCATTTTTACTGCCGAGTTAAAAAAACTACCCAAAATAAAAAGTATTTATAAAAGGAAAAGGAAAAGGAAAAAGTCTGGTCTGCAGACTGCAAATAAAACAGGTTGAACATTTGGGGTAACCATTTAAAGAAATATCGTTCTACAAACGTCCTGGCTGGGTGGGGGGGGCGGGCAGGGCAGACCAGACGTGGGTGTCTCCCGACTCAAAAAACCCACCCTGCCCCCCCCCCCGGGGACTGCCTACGTGGAGCTTTGGAACCGAGGACGTGATTTGCAGGACCTGTTGCAGAATTTACAACCAAGCATTCTTGCTTTCCCGGTTTGTACCTGAATGGTAGAAAGTTCCGGAAAAAGCTGGGAGTGATCAATATGACGTTTCACTGCTGTGCCTTCAACATTTAAGGTTCAGCGCTCGGTGGGCAGAGACCACCAAACAATGGGGATACCAGGAGCTCTGTACCGCAGCAGGGGAAGGATTTCGGGCTCGACAGGCTGGGGGAGCCCCCTCAGCACCCCCAGGGCTCCGAACCAGCTGGGAAGGTCGCCCTCGGCGTGCAGCACACTCGGGGCACAGGAGACCCCGAGACTCGGATCCCGCCCTCCCCTTTGCGAAGAGAGAACGCGCCACTAGAGGAGGGGGCCCTAGGCTACTAAAAGGCGGATTAGCAGCCCCGCGAAACTCTCGATCCCACCTCTCTCTCCCAGAGAAACCGGGATGGAGGTCGCGCACGATTATTTCTCTGCGCAGCGGACCCGGGATCCGAGAGCAGGGCTGAGGCGGCCACGGGGAACGGGGCAGGTGTGTGGAGATCGGGGCGCAGGGCTGAGGAGGATGGCTAGGGGGACCAGATGGGGGCATCGGAGGATATGAGAGGGGGCGCCGGCAGGGCGGCCTCCGCATCCCAGGAGGCTGAGGGAACCCCCACCCCCGGGGTCGGCGGAGACGTCCGCACCTCCCTACTCACTCGAGTCGCAAGCAGGACCACGCACCGCGGGCAGAACTAGCGAGAAGCAGTCGGAGAGAGCGCGGCGGGAGTCCGGGAGCCAGGACGCAGGGAGCGCCGGTACCTTTTCAAGCCCCCCTGTGGGCGTGGCCAGTGGGTGCCCCGCCCCCACCCCTCCGCGCCCCGCCCCGCCTCGCCTCGCGGCGCCGCGCTGCGGCGCGCCGCGCCTGGCCGATTCCCGGACCGGCTCGGAGGGCGGGAGGGGGCTGCTGCTCGCGGCCGGGCTCCGGGGTAAAGGCAGAGAGACAAAGGCAGAATCCCGCCTCTTCCTGCTGCTTCCCGCGCGGCCAGCATCTTCCCACGTAGCGGGACCGCTCCCGCCGACTTTACTCCTCTCGCTCGCAACGGGAGCCCGCAGTTTCTAGAAGTGGTTAACCGGAGTCGGGAAAGGAGGCTTCCTCGCCCTGCAGAGAGGCCGGACGGCGGGACTGTCCCGTCGGGAAACAGCCCTCGCCGCCCTGCTACGTGCCCTTCCGACCGCGGTTGCCAATTCTCCTTTAGGAGGGAACAGTCCAAGGTCGAGTTTCCAGCCGTAGAAAACCGGCCAGATCGGGAGTTTCCACCACACCGTCCCTTGCCTTACCCTTATAAGTAAACTCAACGTGATTAACTTCCCCAGTGGACAAGTATCCGCTGGCCCGATTTCCAGCTTCTGGGAATCCGCAACCTTCCTGTTCTTAAAGAGCAAAATTTCTCATCTAGATTAAATAAATGACGTTACCAAAAAAGCCTCATTACTCAAGTGTTTTGCCTTTCCCACCATCGGGGGGCACGGCTGCACACGCTGCCGAAGGGGTGCAGGGGGTGCGGAGAAACCCACCCAGAAACCCGGGCGCCAAAGGGCCTTGGGATTACATTTGTCGGTATCAGAAAAGCCCAGGGACAGCAGTGACAACCGAGGGGACCTAATACCTGAACTACAGGCTGATTTATTGTTTTAGATGAAAAGAAAAACAAACAATGCCATCTTTATCTTGTTCACATTCTAGGCCGACTGATGACCTCTGTGCCAGAAGTGAGGATCCCTGAGAGTTGATGTTTGGGAAAGTGGAACACTCAAGAAAGACAGTGACCAAGGCTTTCCCTCAGGCCACAAATGCAATAGCCTCCTCTAGTGCAGAGCTTCTCAAACTCCACACTGTAGACATTTGGGGCTGGGTAATTCTTACCTATGGGGGCCGTCCTGGGTGTTGTAGGATGCCTACAGCCACTAGATGCCAATAGCACCCCTCCCTCCACACTGTAACAGTCAAAAAGTCTCCAGACAGTGCCAAATGCCCTCTTGGGGTGGGGGCAGAGGGCATTGGTTGAGAACCACTGCCCTGGTATATATCTGCATGATAAATTGCAGAAGTGGCTTATAATATTATTATTGTTTTATTTTATATGCTGGGGCCAATCCAGGATAAACCCATTATAAGAGCAGCCTTATTCTCTGTCCACCCAGTACTGTACAAAAACACATAGTGGTGATTGACATCTCCTGATATTGTGGCAGGAGTCTGGAAGTATTCCTGCCTGCTGTGAGCTTTGCTAAACATGGGCAGTCCATGTTTTCATGACATCAGCTAATGTAAGAGCCAACATGAAAATTCTGTCCTTCTGATTCGACATTTCCTTTATCTCTGCTGCTTACAGTACTTACTTTTTCTTGCATTGGTTTATGTCGTGTTTCTACTGAATGAAACTATTGGTGAATTTTGATGCCGCACTGGTTTTCAGCACACTGTTGTCCTTTCTCTCCCACGCTTGGGTTCTTTTTGATGCTTCCATGACCTGACCTGTTTGCTTTCTGACATGCTCATGTTGTCCCTAAATTCCACAGCCACCTCCTAGCATTTGACGTTGGGCTTGCTCCTGACCTGAAAGTATTTCTGCTATCTGTCCCTCTATGTCTTTGTCTGAGTGTATTTTACAGTGAGTCTGGGGATAATGTGCAGCATTTAATTTTGAATAAATCTATATTTGTATCTAATTACCCACAGTTAAAAAATATTTTATTTCTCTTTAAACATTTCTTTAAACTGTTGACTCTTTTCATTATAAATGTTAGGAAATCCTTTCAGTTTATTTAGACAGAGTGGTGCAAAAGAAAGAGTGTGAACTTTGGAAACAAACAGATGTGGTTTCAGCATACAGCTCTGACACCTAGTAGCTCTGTGAGCGTGACCTAATGCTTGACTTCTTTGTATCTGTTTCTTTATCGTAAAATGATGACAGTACACACCTTGTAGCATTGTTGGGAGGATTAAATCAGACGTTGTATGTAAAATGCCAAGTATAGCACGTGGCACCTGGTAAATACTCCATAAATGATGATTGTTATGTTAAGCAAGGGTATCTTGATGTCCTCTTCTGACTTGAGAAAGAAGTAGAAACTGGTCTTTGCTGAGCATTCATCTTATGCTGACTACTGAAGGGTTTGGTAGTAACAAAGTATTACGTGTTTTCCAAAACAGTTAAGAGCCTGCCAGCAGAAAGTAAATTGCGTGCCTGGGGAAGAGCTAGTGGGAGAAATGTGCGCTCCTGGAGAAGAATAAGCCTTTCTTAATTCCATATGGTCCTAGCCTGTTTGACTCTTTCAACCTTATTATAAGAGGCAAAATTGAAGGTTAAATGTGTCCAGCAGGATGTTTCTTTTTCCCAAGAAACGCACATTATACTTGTAACAGCTCCTTTAGTCTCTGGAACCCATTAACCAATTTTGAATCAAAGTCCTTTGTCAACGTTGCTGTCCTAAGGAAAGCTGAACCAAGGTTGCCTTTCTTCGTGACCTTGTCCTCCAAGGTCAGATTTTTCAAATATTTTTATCCTTTTTATTTCATGCTACTTTTTCTTAACAAAACTCTGAACCAGATGAGTGTGAATATAAACACAGGGCTTCTTTATTTTACTTTAGGGCAAGAATTTCTTCCCAGAAGCCAACTAGGTGGAGAGGAATCTTTTAGTATACGTTAAATAAAGGAAAAAATAAATTCTCTCATTTTGCTTACGTACATGCTTAATAATAAAGAAGTAGCTGTTCCCACCTTATTTCTTAGCAAAGATTTAGCAGCAGTGGTGGGAATTAAAAATTACTCATACGCAACCCTGATACTCTGTGAGGCATTTTCTGGCAGAGAATAGAATAAGTTATATATGCTTAAAGCCTGAAAGGTAGATTAAAGTATCATTTTTTATACTTGCCATAGTTGCTTTTTTTTAACTTGCTTCAAACTCCCACTTTCTTATAACCTGCATTATTTCTTAACCTTTTCTTTAACGAGTACTATTTGTCTTCAGTGCTTTATCTTCTCTTACAGTGTTGTTTAGGTTTTCTTTTCTACCGGAGCTTTCTGGCTTTTCTAGCTCTGCTTATGCTTGCTTATTACAGCGGAGTTTTTCTAGCTCTACTAGTATGAAAAATACCATTAACTTTAACCTCCGAATCAGTCCGTTTCATCCATCTTAACCCCTTAAATGCCCTATCCCACTTTTCTCTCTTCTTTGCAGTTGATGACATCACCTTCTCTTTCATTCGAATTCCCAGCCACCAGCCAACATTGCCCTCAGCCTTCCTCCTCTTTGCCTCGAACGGCCCATATTTTCTCCCATGTTTATACTTGCTGTCCCTGACCTCAGGGGAACAGGTGGTTCTCCAACCCTTACCAAGAATATTCACTCTGCTTGTGCTTCTGATTCATTTTGGCATTCTTTGTTACATTCCTTTGCTCTTCAATTTCTCTGTGTCTACTGCTTCCTTTCCTTTCAGATTACAAAAATGCTATCTACCCCATATTTTAAAAAGCTGAGAGAAACTTCCCTGAATTTTGTAGTAGGTTCTTGAGAGGCCCAGGTTTTGGGGGGGTCCATATGCCTTTAGGGAAACGCCTTTACAGCCCTGATTTTGGGTGGAGCCCTGGAGCCAACCTAGGCCTTCCAATCCCTGGTTTGGATGGGGGAGTCATCCAATCAGAGGGAGTCTCTGAACTCTGCTGGGATGTTGAGCCGGAGCCGTGTTCTCCTGTCTGGAAGGTGCTGTGTGTGTACATGAGGCCTAGAGTTGCTACAGTCATTTTCTGATGGTAGGAAGCCAGCCTGAGAATGATGCAGCACAGAAAGGACAGAGGAATGGAGCCAGAGCTCTGAACAAATGACTCACAAAGTTTGTCTACCTGCAGGATCTTTTCATTTGGGGAGCAAATGAATTCCCACTGATGTTTATTCCCTTTTGAAATGGGTTTTCTGTTACTTGCCACTAGGACTCCCAACTGATTGTTATGGCTTAAAACTATGTCCACAAATTCTTTGATACTCCTCCCTTCACCGTGCGGCATTTAATTCCCCTCTCCTTGAGTGTGTGACTGGTTTCCAGAAAATAGAATAAAGTGTATGATTCTAAGAGTAAATCATAAAAGGCGTTGTGATTTCCTCCTTATTTTCCCCCGACTCCCTTCTCTCTCTCCCTCTCCAGCTCTGTCTCTCTGTCTCTCTGTCCCTCTGTCTCCCTGTCTCTGTCTCTGTCTCTGTCTCTCTCTCTCTCTCCCTCTCTCTCTCTCTCTCGGATGGATCACTTGCTCTGGGGGAGCCAGCAGCCATATCAGGAGGACACTCAAGCAGCCCATGAAGGGCCCACATGGTGAGGAACAGAGACCTCCAGCCAACAGCCCCCCGGGGAGTTGAAGCCTTTTGCCAACAAAAACATGAGTGAGCTTGGAAGGAGATTCCACGGTCCTGTCAAGCTTGAAATGACTCCAGCCCTTGCTACAAGTTTGACGGCACCCTCATGAGAGACACCGAGCCTCTCACTGCGGTCATCAGAGAGTCCCTGATTGCCAAACCAGTCACCATCTTTCAGTGCTTACCCTACTTGACTTCTTGGTTATGAGACAATGCCGGGTAAATATATGATTGTGTGTACACTCACAAAATGGAATTTCCTAAGAAAGGCCACAACTCTGAAGTTTTGCACAAACGTTAACTTCTGTCTTAAGACACTGTTTTGGTGAGAGATGGGAATAAATTCTCAAAGCCACAACCACTAGGAAACTTATTTCTTTCCCCCAAAAAACTGTAATATGAGGAACAGAGCAAACTAGAGGATGCATTAAATAATTTTTTATT